TGCCCGGATGGCTCAGTCGGTTAAGTGTCCGACTCCGGCTCAGGTCATGATCACAGGGGTCGTGAGTTTGAGCTCTGCATTGGGCTCTCTGCTCTCAGTGCAGACCCCACTTTGGATCCTCTGTCTGTCTGTCTCTCTCTCTCTCTCTCTCTCTGCCACTCCCCCACTCTCTTTGTCCCTCAAAAATAAACATGTAAAAAATAAAATAAGAACTATAAAAATATCTGATTTTTCTGAAGAAGACTTTTAGCCTGAAATGTTTTCTCTTTTTTTAAAAAATGTTTATTTTTGAGAGAGAGAGAGGGAGGGAGGGAGTGGGGGAGGAGCGGAGAGAGGGGTGGGGACAGAGGATCCAAAGTGGGCTGTGTGCTGACAGCAGAGAGCTCAGTGCGGGGCTGGAACTTGTAAACCGTGAGATCATGACCTGAGCTGAAGTCAGGCACTTAACTGACTGAGCCACCCAGGTGCCTCGGAAAAAATCAGATTTTATTTTTTTTCATTTTGATTTTTTTTAATGTTTATTTTATTTTGAGGGAGAGAGAGACAGAGGGGGGGGGAGGGGGAGGGGCAGAGAGAGAGGGAGAGAGGATCCCCAGCAGGCTTGTGCTGTCAGCGCAGAGCCTGATGCAGGGCTCAATCTCATGAACCGTGAGATCATGACTTGAGCAGAAATCATGAGCCAGAGACATTCAACCGACTGAGCTACCCAGGTGCCCCCAAAAATCAGATTTTGAAAGAAGGTTGATCTATGTAATAAAACGTACAGCATTCAACAAAGGAGTCAATAAGCTATAAAGGAAGTGACCTTTTCTGGAAGAGACAGCACCAAGGAAGTCTATACGCCGACTCTCGAGCCTCTCGAACAGTCATGTTTTGCAAAGTAGACTTGGAGGACGAGTGGCAAAATGACTAGGAGAGAAACAGAACCTTGCCTCACCGATGCCAAGAGAGAAGGGCGTGTCAAGAAAGAGTGATTTGCCAACTGCCCAATGCTGAGAAATGACCTTGTAAATTGCCTGGAGAACATACCTTGGACTTAACCACATGGAGACCGTCTGGGACTTGAGTTAGAGCATTCCCAGTGAAGCTGTCCTCTAGGGAGGAGTGGAGAATTTCTGGAGTCCTCGGTGGTGGTATTTATTGATTATAGTAAGCGAACACACCGTAACACCCAGGATACACCCTATCATCCCCAGTTATGTTTTTGAATAATGCATATGCGTATGCACAAAGTTCTGGAAGAAAATTAGAGTGAACAGTAGTTATTCCAGTAAGGTGTGACGGTGGGTAATATTTATTTTCTTTGTATTTCTGCGCATTTTCCAAACTTTCTACAATGAACATGTATAGCTTTCATGATCAGAAAAAGCAAAAATTATATTAAATATGCATACATGTGTTATTAAGTTATCAGTAATTATGTTTAGCGAAATCATGGGTAATATTTTGTTTCTACATATTTTATGATTTATATATTAAAAAATATATAAATCTCTTATGTATTAAAAGATTGCCAATGTGGGGCGCCTGGGTGGCGCAGTCGGTTGAGCGTCCGACTTCAGCCAGGTCACGATCTCGCGGTCCGTGAGTTCGAGCCCCGCGTCAGGCTCTGGGCTGATGGCTCAGAGCCTGGAGCCTGTTTCCGATTCTGTGTCTCCCTCTCTCTCTGCCCCTCCCCCGTTCATGCTCTGTCTCTCTCTGTCCCAAAAATAAATAAACGTTGAAAAAAAAAATTAAAAAAAAAAAAAAAAGATTGCCAATGCATTTTACTATATATAATCTTATGCATGCTGTGCTGACTGTCCTATCCCACGTTCTTGATCCCCACTGAATCCCTATTTTATTTCATTTGTCCCCAGCTTTATTGAGGTAAAATTGACAAAATTAGAAGATATTTAAGTTTACAGTATGATGATTTGATATAGGTACACAGTGTCAAAGGTCAATCCTTATTTTCTAATGTCACTGCGCTCATGCCTGTCATCTAGAGGGTATTGGGATGATGCTTTCTGCAAGTGTGGGTGTCAAGGACAGGAGAGACAAGAGGCAGGAGCAGGAGGCAGACTGGGCCTAACAGAGGTGTTTCCTTGCTTGAGGGTGGGAGAGATGCCATCCTAAAGGATGTGATGCTTGGGGTGCCTGGGTAGCTCCACAGGTTAAGCATCCGACTCTTGGTTTCGGCTCAGGTCATGATCTCATGGTTTTGTGGATTCCAGTCCCGCATCGGGCTCTGCACTGACAGTACAGAGCCTGCTTGGGACTCTCTCTCTCTCCCTCTCTCTCTCCCCTTTCCCCTTCCCCTTGTGCTGTCCCTGTCTCTCTCAAAATAAATTTTTTAAAAAAATCCTTAAAAAAAAAATAAAGGTTTTGATGCTGATGAGAAGGGTCTAGAAAGCAGAAGGGGTTCATTGCTGTGTCTGTAGTGCCTACAGTAGGCGGGCACTTAGTAGGTGCTGAACAAAGGAGATTTGTGGAGGTAGAAGGTGCATGAAAAAGGAGATTCAAAAGGCCAGAAGGGTGGTCTTCAGAGCACAGAGGGAGGGGCCGGCCAGTGACAGGAGGAGTAGGGGGAGCACCACCATCGTTATAAGTCAAGGTAAGAAGGAGAGAGACGGCACTGAGTCAGGCAACTTTATAGATTCTATGGTAGGAAGTGCCTTCTCAGAGTGAAGGAGGAGGCATCTGGCATCTGAAGAAAGGGGACAAGATTGGAAGTGGTCATTGCCGGAGGAAGAAGGGGAGCCGAGCTGATGAGAGAAGAGAGGTGAGTGCAGAGGAGGGTGGGATGGAGGGTCCCACTAGTTCCCAGAATGCCTTCCACAGGGGCGCTCCCAGATCTCAGCCCCCTCCTGCGTCGCCATTGTCCTCCTACTCAACACCATTTCTGCCTGTTTTCCTTGTCTTGTTCTCTCCTTCCTTTGTTGTGATGGAATGAAGACACAGCCGAAGGTTGGAAAAAAGAAAGATCAGTTTCATTTGGAGGGATTGCGCAAGGCTAACACTTGAACTGTGTCTTTAAAAACGAACAGAATTTCAGGGGTGGAACTTCGGCTAACAACACAGTCACAAGGGACGTTTGGAAGGATAAAAGTTCAAGTAATGATTGTACGGCTGCTGTATTTCCTTAGTAAAAGCAAAAAGGTCTGAGTCACAGGAGGGATCTAGGGTGTGCTCTGTTGCCACCTTCATCCCATGGGGCTTTTGCTCTGTGGATACGGTTCCTTCTTCTGCAGGGTGTTCCCTGCTGAGTCTTGCCTGTTTCATTGCTCTTGTCTCTGTCTTAATTTCTAAGTGCTTCGCACACCGTGCAGCACATAGTGCCTGCACCATAAAGATTAACTACTAGTCCTAATGGTATTAATTCCCAAGCTCTCCCTTCTCGTGTAGGCTTGGGTTACTCTAGAGCCCCCGGCAGATGATTAGGCTGCAAAGCAAATTGGAGTCAGATTGTTACTGGTGAGTCTGGACTTTAGTTTAAAGACAATCAGCCGAGGACTGTTGAGTAACAACAAAATGTGCACCACTGGAAAATATAGCAGCAGAAGGTAGGATTTTTTTTTTTTAATATAGAAACAATAAAGTTTTATTAAATGGCATTGAGCCATTGTTGTACCATATACTAACCATGTGTAGGGATTTATTATACTTGATGAGGCTAAAGTCAATAGTTGGGTGCATTTTTAAGTGGTTTCTTTCCTCAGGGGCCCAAATTTTCCAAAGCTCTGTTCTGGCGGTCTTCGGTGTGTGGCTCAAGGACCCAGGCAGGGCCCTGAGGCTGGTAAGAGCATCCTTTTCAATTGCGCATCTGCGCCAGGCTGGGTTTTCTTTATGCATTTTGATCAAAACCACACCGTACAACAGTTTCAACACAGAAGGTAGATAATGAGAATCCAGGCGTCTTTGACTAAGTCAGACATTAAAGAGGTGTGCAGAAGTGTAAAACGATGTCACTGTGTTCACTAAATTTTGGGGAAAATGTAGTGCTTTCTCCCCCCCAAAAAAGTGCTATTTATGTGAGCAAGTCATGGACTGTTAGTGTTATTTTTAGATTAATGCAAACACTCTGAGGTCAGCTAATCAGAGGAGGGAGTCTCTGGGGACAGAGGAACTTCCTTCTGAAAGCTCACCTCCTCATCACCTTATGGTCTGGTCTGGGACTGGGACTAAATGTACACACGTGACTCATGCACAGAGAATTAATCACAAGGCAGGGCGCTAAGGTCCCGAAGATGAACCTGGGGACCGTGGGCTTCTCCACTGAGAATGATTTTTCTAATTGCAGTCAGGCTTCCCTATCCCAGGTAGGAGAGGTAGAAGTATCTTCTAGTCTAGATGTATGTAGCTAGCCTCTTTGATCTGTGACATACAGACCAGGGGTAGAAAGAGTGGATGTTGCAAGTTTTGTTTGTTTGTTTGTTTTTAACATTTATTTATTTTTGAGAGACAGAGAGAGGCAGAGCACAAGTGGGGGGAGGGGCGGAGAAAGAGAGAGAAGAGAGAGAGACGCAGCATCCGAATCAGGCTCCAGGCTCTGAACTGTCAGCACAGAACCGGACGTGGAACTCAAACCCACGAACCGTGAGATCGTGACCCGAGCCGAAGTGGGCCGCTTAACCGACTGGGCCACCCAGGTGCCCCGGCAACTTACCTCCTTTATTTAAGGTTCTATGTTCTCTTCCTCCCGCTGAAAGGACCCCTAAGAATTTTCCTGAAAGAGGTGTCAAGGGAGATAACAATTCCCCTGCGGAGATACTAGCAAGCAAGGCGAACAGTGGCCAGATGGGTCTCCTCCGGCTCATCTATTCCAAGACCAGCTATATTTGAAAACGGGCTAGCTGGGTTCTTTGCTAAATATTCCCACTGGGTGAAACAGAGATAAATTTACTTAAACGGAAAATATGTGACTTAATGGGACTAAAGGTGTCAGGAAATAAACAGGAAGGGCCTGAAGTTTTCCTATAGGAACTGAAATAAACAACAGGGAAGTGGTCACATGTCTTCCCCCGCCCACCTCCCGGGTTGGTATATAAGCCCCTCCCCCAGCAGGAGGCGGCACCAGACCTCCCTCACCTCCTGAGTCTCCCTCCTCCCCTCTCCTGAATCCTCTCTGCCGACACCATGGGGTGCTGTGGCTGCGGAAGTTGCGGTGGCTGCGGCGGCTGCGGCGGTGGCTGTGGTGGCTGCGGTAGCGGCTGCGGTGGCTGCGGCGGCGGCTGTGGCGGCTGCGGCGGCGGCTGCGGCGGCGGCTGCGGCGGCGGCTGCGGCAGCTGCACCACCTGCAGGTGCTACCGGGTGGGCTGCTGCTCCAGCTGCTGTCCCTGCTGCTGCGGCTGCTGCGGGGGCTGCTGCAGCGTCCCCGTGGTCTGCTGCTGCCGCCGCTCGTGTGGCTGCAGCTCGTGTGGCTGCGGCTCGTGTGGCTGCGGGAAGGGCTGCTGCCAGCAGAAGTGCTGTTGTCAGCAGAAGTGCTGTTGCAAGAAGCAGTGCTGCAGCTAGGCGGGCGGGCGGCCTCACCCCTGCCCAGGAGCTGCGGGAGCCCCCCTGTCCTGCAGGTGAGACTTGGCCCACCCTCCTCCGTCTCCTTTCCCTCGGCCTGTCACCAGCTTTCCCCCTCCTCCTGCTTTGTCCTTCCGAGAACCTCCTGTGCCCACGCTGGCACAAATCCTCCCTCCGCGCCACCGTGCAGCACGGAACCACGATGCAACCAAAGAGCTTGTGAGAAGACATCGGGGCAAAGTCCCAGCCTCCTGGGAGCCCCAAGGGTTTATTTGTGTGTCACGTTCCATCTCTGATAAATATTCGGGCCTGGCTTCTGGCCATTTTGGGGGTTTCTGCCCGCGTGCTGGCTCTTCTGTGGCTCTGTCTACATCTGCTGTTTTAAACTTCCTAATAAAGTGACTTGATGCACGATCACATCTCTTCGTTGGTCCCATTTTCTGTCCGTTCTTGTGTCGGCCACTCGGGCCGCTGAGCAGCAGATGGGGCTCTGACTCTGGCTCTGGCGCCCCGGCAGGGTCCTGTGGCCACCCCTGGACCCGACCCTGCACCCACAGCCCTTCATCAGAGAGCCACACGGCCCCCTCTGCTGCTGCCCCGAAATGACAGTTCACCTGACGGGCTTCTGTGCTCAGATTTACAGGGGGGATTTTCCAGGTGGGGCGAGGGCGGTGGGGATTGGTGGTGGTGAGGGGGTGCTTTGTGTCTTGAAACGGATTTAGGAAATGAAGAGGGTCCCAAAGGGAGGAAGAAGGCACGTAGGCCCTACCCTGCGGTGCCAAGCGGTTTCTGGGGAGTTTGGGGAGCATTGGCCCCGCCGGGGAGCTTGAGTGCTCTGGACGGCACTGGAAGGCTCTGGAAAGCTCTTGTTCTTGCTGGCATCCTTGGCTGTGCCTCCAACAGCCGTGTATTTCCTCTGCTTCTGCGGATTTCGGGCAGCAGCGAACTCACCCAGCAGGCCCTCGGGGAGGGGAGACCTTGCCTGAGCTGATTCCACTTACAGTGTCGACGTCAGGGCCCACCTCGTTGCCAGCCCAGCTTCGGCAGCAGGGCAACGGAGGGGTCCCCTTATTCAGCTCACGCTCCCTCCCCATGTCCATTCAGAAAAGAAAGGATGGGTGGTGAGTTGCTGTGGACCCCCCTCTACATGCATGGTTGCTTCTATTCCTCCTCATAACCCTTCGAAGTGGGTTGTATTAGACCCATTTCATCGATGAAAGGACTGAGCTTGAGGCAGTTAAGAAATTCACCGAAAGAAATGCAGCTAATAAATCCTGACTTAATCCCAGGTTCTTCTGACGTCGAACCTGGCAATCCTATTTCTCTACCTTATTGATTCTCAGAGTTTACACGCATGTCCTTGTTCATTTATTTCCTTCCCTTCTTCGTCTTCCCAAGCTCATGCATGCACCTGCTGTTATCTGGCTGTTCCTCACACCGCCAGGTGGTCCTTGAACCCTGCTGCCTGGGTGAGAGCCACATTCCAGCAAGTTCCTTCTCAGCACTCCTCAGAGGTATTTCTGGACCACACAAGGTCTCTGCTCATCCAGGTGACAGCTACTTAACTCACTACTGGGGGGTGGGGGCGGGATGTATCTGTCCACCAGTGCTTACCGCGGGAAGGAAGAGGAGTCTCGGTCTCCAGAAGCCGTCTCGGAGTTGGTGGATTTGCTCCGGGTTTCTTGACAAATGCTGTGGGAGGTACACGTTTACCATCGTTACCTAGGAGACATGGGGCTGGGGCTGGCAGGACTTTAGCTATTTTTTAAGTCTTACTGCTTACGCGTCTTGAACCCACCTAAGGTCATGTACAGAGGGCATGGTTTCAGCTTAAATCCTATCTTCCCCACTTGCCCACCCCTAGCCTAGGAAGTTCTTTGCCTCTGAGCTCCCATAACGCTTCCTTGTTTTATAGTATCGGATAACATATTCTGTGTCTTACTATTGTTACTTGTAAACAGGAGATGATGGTAGATAGATAGATAGATAAAATTGTATTTATAATTATATATATATATTGTTCTAATTATCTGTGTAACTTTTTAAATGTTTATTTATTTTTGAGAGAGAGAGAGGGTGCGAGCAGAAAGAGAGGGACAGAGGATCTGAAGCCGGTTCTGCGTTGACGGCTCGACGCGGGGCTTGAACTCACAAATTGTGAGATCATGACCTGAGCCGAAGTCAGAAGCGCAACCCCCTGAGCTGCCCAGGCGCCCCTGTATACATAATTTTTGAGGAACCTATCTATCTATAGATATAATTTTTTCCGTTCTGTCCCACTGATGTAACTGTCCAGTCAGGCTCCAGAATGGTGCTCACTCACTGTGCCTTGTGCTGTCCAGATACTGGGGCTAGGAGACGGTGAACGACGGCTCCTGGCTAGGGGCTACTCACGTGATGAGGGACACAAACAAGTACATGGGAAATACTGTGTAATGTGACAAGTGCTATGGCTGGGAGCGGCGTGCGGTGTCACGGAGATGCAAGAAGACCTAACCCAGGCTTCGGGTGGGGTGCCAGGGTCATAGAAAAGCTCATGGACGAAGTGACACTTAGACCAAGTCCAGAAAGGTTAAGGCAACCTCTGGGAAGAGGGCGTGTCAGGGGACAGGGCGGGGCTGGGGTCTATATCAGGCAGAGGCACCTAACTGTGTGCAAAGGTCAGAGGTGAGAGGCAGCGTGACCAACGGGGGCAGCCCGAGTTCGGTGTGGCTGCAGAGTGGAGGGTGACGGTGTCACGTGAGGAGACGGGGCTGGAGAGGTGAACAAAGTCCGGACCAGGAAAAACATTGCACAAATGGGCGGACGTTGTGTTCCACACTGTGCAAGATTCTTTGGAGGGTTTCAGTGGAGGAGTGATATACTTTGGAGAAAATACCAGTCTGGCAGCACAGGGAGAATGGGCGGAGGGAGAGGGAGAAACCCAGACAAGAAGCTGCTGTGGTGATCTGGGCACTGATGATGGCGGCTGGACCTGCCATACAATGGGACATTCGAGAAACATTTCGAGGTTGAGTGGAGAAGCAAATGGACTCAAGAATCCAAGAGTGGGGGCTCCAGCCTAGACAGGTGGGCGGACACTAGATATGGCAGGTGAACTAACCAGGGCAGGTGGGGGAGCCGGGGGAACGGGTCGTTGCGTCACCCATGGAGCCAACGATATTGATGGTGGCCGCTGACGTTTCTAGCAAGCCTCCTCCCATGTGGTCCACACGACAATCTAAGAGGCAGGTATGAAAATCATCCGCACTGTGTACGTAGGAAATCAGGGTTGTGAGGGGGAGTCTCTCAGCCTCTGTATGGCGGAGCCTGGATCAAATCCAGTCAGCTGGCTGCCACGCTGGCTTTCTCAGCTCCCAGATGGTGCTGTAGAGCAGGTGTGCAGGTGGGAACCAGCTTTGCTCATCTTGGTGGCCTTGTAGAACCTGGCATGGCGTTCATGGTGGAGGCCTTTCTCCTGGAGTGATTAGAATTGCAAAGCTGCTCCAGGGGCAATGGGGTCTTAAGTCGTTTGTACTCGTCTAACCACACGTATCTTCCCTCCTGCCACAGTCTTTAATAGGAGAGGGTACGCCATGTTTGTGTTGGTAGATTTGTGGAGGCATTGAAAGAACGAGTCGATACTAAACCGTGTTAAATGCTTGTGTAGTAAGCTGCGGGGTTGGGACGAGGGGAGGCCGAGTCAGGCAAGTGCGGTGTCCAGCCCTCTGTTTTGGTAAAATGTCGTTATGGTTTTCATCAGGGACTTCTTGCACCTACTTTGATTTTTTTTTAAATATTGCATTAAAAATATCGTGATGATTTCAGGTTTTGGGTGCCACCTTAAATTTTCACCCCAGGTGGGTGCCTCATTCACCCCACATTAGCCTTGGGAAGGAGCGTTACACGGATCCAAACATTCCCCACTTACCCTACCGCTGTTATTTCTATGCAGATACAAAAATAGATTTTCTACATGGAATAGTATTCATTTGTTGGAAAGAAATACCACTTTAAATTGGTTATTCGCAGACTGTGACTAGGCGCCCGTGATCCCAAAGACTGGTAAATAAATAGGAAAGCCATCCCAGTTCTGGGAACAAAACAGGTTCCACGGAGGAGGGAAGTCAGTTGCAAAAGCTCAGAGAAGGGTGTGGCTTATTTGAGCGGGACAGAGAGCAAAAGAGGCCACCCTCGTACCCCACTGCAGCTCGTCGGGGTATCAGGTCAAAAACAGTTTGCCTGTACTCAGAATTCCTTTTGGACTGAGCATGCTGCATAATCCAGACCAGGGTTTGGCAAAGTTTTCCGTCAAGGACCGGATGAATGTCACATGATCTCTGTCGCAATGACTCAATTTAGCCACTGTGACTGGAAACTCCCACAGACAACACTTAAACGTGTGAGTGGCTTTGTTCCAATAAAACCTCGTTTACAAAGATAGGTGGCAGGCCAAAAGTGGGCCTTAGCGTGTTGACCCCTGATCTAGACGCTGAACTTTGAAGACAGGAGGTACAGGGTTGCGGCGTGGTTGAGAGGGCTGGCTCTGGGATCAGGCTGCCTGTGCCGCTGTCCTGACTCCAGTTTCTTTGTGGCCTTAAGACAATTAATGTTCCAGTGTCTTACTTTTTCTTCATCTGTAAACTGGGAGCATGGACAGTATATTCTTTGGAAGGTTATTGCAAGAATCAAGGCAGATAAAATACTTAGAATTATTTCTGGAATATTAAAAGAGCTGAAAAAAAAATAGAGGTGGGTGGGTGGCTCAGTCGGTTAAACGACCGACTGTTGATTTTGGCTCAGGTCATGGTCTCACGGTTCATGGGATCAAGCCCTGCATCGGGTTCCACACTGAGCGTGGAGCCTACTTCAGATTCTCTCTCACTTTCTCTCTTTCTCTCTCTGCCCTTCCCCTGCTCATGCACATACACACACCCTCTGTCTCTCTTTCAAAATAAACACACATTTTATTATTAAAAAAAATTTTTAA